CAGGGCGAGTGTCCAAGGTAAGTGCTCAACAGGGGCACTGCGTTTCACCTGACGCGTCCTAAACAACCTAAAATCAGTTTGATATTCTATTACCAATGAGTACATTATTAGTCAAAAGCTTTATGAATACTAAATTGAAGTTTTTTTAGGCTGGAATGGCAAAAACAACCATGCAGCAAGACATTTCTACGCAAATATACAGCTTTAGAAGTCAATCAACCAGTATAGCCTAACTACTAAAATGTAACACATAGCCCACGTTAGCCTTTTCAGCAAAAAACAATCACACGTATAGGCAGTTTGTCACAGAAGCAGACGCATGGTATCAGTCCGTCGCCCTCCTGCCGGCCGCACAGTAGCAGACGAACAGGTTATAGGTAGCGCCACCTACGGCGAGCGATTGAACGAGAGCGGGGACACGCGCTCCCATAGGAACCCCGCTATCTGAACAGGTCAGGAGTGTAGTAGGTCATGACTATAACAACGCCGCCATTGTGCCTACTGAATATGGCCGCCATGATGTCATTTCCGCCACATTTTTTACGCTCTGCGCCGGCTGGGCATGCCCTTTCCTTACCTTTTTCCTTCCTCCGTGCTTCTAGTTAATTTTGAGAAACTCTTAGGCAGTGTCTTCTGCGCCGCGCGGCGCAGCAGCCATCCCCACACAGAAGTGGCTTTTGCGCCGCATAGAAGTGACGTCACTTAAAAAAATTAATACCTAAATCTAGTTGAATGTGTAAATTATTCGTGCGTTATACGTTAAACTTACAAAACTTTTACTAAACAGGTGTTTAACGAGTCATTTAGCCTAGGTTTGTTATTTAAATACATATTACAAGTATTTTGAATACAGGGGGCGCCATGGGCGCTGCGGCTGCGAAAGGTAAACACTGCAAGATGGTAGCCGCCTGCGATGTGTTAGGTGGTGAAAACTCCGATGGAATCTTGGCCATGGCCTAGGTCACTCCCAAGGTGGACTGGAGCATGACCTACTACACTCCTGACCTGTTCAGATAGCGGGGTTCCTATGGGAGCGCGTGTCCCCGCTCTCGTTCAATCGCTCGCCGTAGGTGGCGCTACCTATAACCTGTTCGTCTGCTTCTTTACGGTTGTTTTGTAGGCGCTGGTATAAGAATGCCTGCTTTCTGTGGTGAACTGTCGGCATATATGTGACTATTTCTTCCCATACATTGCTGGTCAAGTAAGCTGTTCAGTGCGCTTAAGAATTTATAGCACACTGGTTGACAAACGTGGAAACCCGTGGATTTACATGATTTTGGACAGCCTATGCGTTGTCGCGTGCATTTTATTGCAAAAAAATTCTGAATGTCTTTTAGTATTATTATTTCTGGATATTTCTAAATTGTGGATCATAAATTCGCACTACGAGTGCTTTGTTGGTTAAAATTTGACTACAAAGAGTGAAGGTGACGTCAGCGAACAGGTGCTGCCTAGCGCCACGCCGCTCGTAGGTGACGGCCCTAGCGGCAGAAGGTATGAACTAGAACGTGGGCGCTGGAAGAGGTGCTCTCTGGGCAGGTCAGGAGTGTAGTAGGTCATGGACTGGAGTGTCGTCGCTGCTTCATGTGATTGCTGGATGCTTAGTTGAACCTGGTGGTTGGAGCTAGCGTGGCCGTCCACCGCGCCGCAGCTTCATCTGAGTGTGTGCGCCATAAAGTTTCTCAGTATGATGTGCGGATTACAGTCGTTGGACGTACTGCATTTTCTAGATTGCAATGCCAAGCGTGGTGTTGTCAAAGGTGAAAGTGTTCTTGCTGCCGAGTTTTGCTTGTCGCGAAGGACTAGGTCGACGATGAAATAAATGCTTTCGCATGGTTCACGTGTGACTGACCGGACGGACATGCATGAAACCCCAGTGCGTCGGCGAAGTATTCATACGATGGATGGAAACAACTTAATTGTAATGTTCTTACGAAGCCTGTGATCTCTGAAGGCCAGAGATACTGCATTGCCGTCTGTTTTGTCAAGTGCGAACACGTACGGCCGTTCTCATCCGTTGCTACGTGAATGCTCCCGTGCTGTCACAGGCCGCGCGTGTTATTGAGCAAGGCAGACAAGTAGTTAGGTGGGCTAACGCCGTCGGCACTTGCCCTTGGGCATTGTTTATCAAGTGCTGATCGCCGAGAACATTGCGGTGACACGTCAGTATTTTTAAAGAAAGCGGCCTGCCGGTTACCTCGTCAGGTGATAGTACACTGAGCGACATAAAAAAAGTTGCCCGAGACTACGTTGCAGTGCACCTTTCTGTCATCAAGACTTTGATAAACCGTGGTAATCAACATTCCTAATACCTGTGCTAAAGAAACCAATGCAGCCAGCTGCATTCGAGTTTTTGTGGCTTTTTGCGTCTCGCCGATTAAGAGCACTAATTCGCAAAACACTTTATCATAATAAATATAGTCAATCCTGCAAGCGTCATCGAAGATCCAATATTAAAGGGCCTGTGGACGGGACCACCACCAGCAGCAAGTTGGGCTAATGAGGAGGCGCAAATGTTAAAACAATATATGCGTGAACAAAAAAAAAAAAAGACAAAGTATCGATAACTGCAATAGGACTTGAACCACCGACCTCACCAGTTCATGTGTTGCTTTAACCAACTGCGCCACAACTGCCGATCGGTTTGAGATGACAAACAAGCCGGTTTTGTATTTCTGTCACGCTAAACCTAAAGAACACTTTTGTTGACTTTTTCGTTTGGACGTAATTTTAACGGCTTTTATCATTATGTCTAGACATACCGCTAGACACTCCCGACTATTCAAACAAAGCGCCTAACCGAAAAATGTAACACGTCACTTCCGTGCGGCGCAGCAGCCGTTTTTGTGTGGGGGTGGCTTGTGCGCCGTGCAGCAGTCTCTGCCAAACTCTTAAACTCTTATTAGAGTGCCTAGAATATTCTCCTAGTGTCATGAACAGGCACCTTCCCCATCGGCGACTGGGAAATTGATTTGGATTCAGCGTTAGGGGGCGCTACTTGCAACTGGCACGTCAGTTTGCGTGCCGGCCGGGCGGAGTGGCTATGAAAAGAGAAAAGAAGAGAAAAGCGAGCCCCGTTATTGTCTGCTTCAAAGAGCGACACCGCCACAGTAGCTCACGAGGGATGGGGGTGAGGAGGGATAAAAAGGATAGGAGTAAAGATGTGGGAAAGCCGAAGAAGGAGAAGAGAAGAAGAGACGTGTGGTAAGCCACAGCGAGCGAGGACAAATCGAGGGGATAGAAGAGATAGGAAAGATGGAGCACGGTCACTGGAGTCCGAGGACGGGGCGCACCTGCGAGAGCTCCTTTCGGCGTCGGTGGATGGCGTAGAACAAGTCCAGTAAATCAGAGCTGCACTGTCGTCGGAGGTGGAAGGTCGTCGGCGGCAGGAGATGACGTAGGGCGAGTCCAGTCGGCCAGAGCCACGCTGACGCGGGAGATCGCAAGCGCGCGGAGCGCGCGAGCGCACGACCGGTCAGCTCGAAATCCAGCAAGCGAGTCTCATGTGCCGGCCGGGCCTTTCAACGTTGTGTCGGGTGGCGACTTGTCTGTGTGGTGAAGCGTGTTCTCGCTACGTTTCGAATATGTGCCGTGAATTCTCGTGCAGCGATTGTGTGTGACTATGCCTGAAAAAAAAGGAAGAACGTGCTTTGTGCCTTTGTGCAAAGGCGGGTACAAGTCTTTTAAGGAGAAGGTGTCTCTGTTCAGGGCTCCGGCAGACGCTGTTCGTCTTCAAGAATGGGCGCGAAACATCAAAAGAGGTGACAAAGTTCTAGACGAAACTTGTGTAGTGTGTTCTCGTCATTTTGATGATTGCTACATCCAAAGAACTTTCAAGCATGTCATCAACGGCGAGGACGTCGAATTCGACCGTGAACGACCATCGCTAACGCCGGACGCCGTTCCTACCATTTTCCCGGATGGCCCCGCTTACCTGACTAAACCAGTGCCTCGAAAAAGAAAAGAGAGGAATATTGCTGACTGCACAGCTCCGCCTGCTAAGCGTAAAGCGCCGAATGAACCCACGACTTCCCAGGCCTGTGACGATGCTGCCGCTGGCGAGGAAACAGCACAGGCGCCGCACCCGTTTCACAGCATAACGCCGCCGTCGGCATTTTGCAGCAAAATTTGCTTGCCCAGTAACCCAGAAGCATTGTGCTTCGCATGGCACTACAATACAGTGCCGGGTGACGTGTGCGTGTTGAAACACGTAGTGTTTTCGTCAAGCAAGGAAGTAGGTGCTGCAGATGGGTACCTTTGCAGTACTTACTGCCGCGGCATAAATGTGGAAGAGCACTATGTCAGCACCGAAACTGACGCACTCGCTTCGCTGAAAAGGGCCGACGATCTGCTTCTTTGTTGCGGCTGCGAAATTGAGCCTGCCGCTGGCACTAAGTGCGTCCGTTTCGGAAGCGGATGTTTTTCGCCCAAGTGCTTGGTTACTACGCAGGATGGGAAAGCTTGCTTGAGGTGCAAGTACCTGAGGAGACTGATAATAACATGGCATTTTACAGCCTCGCCAGACCCCCTAAAGGAGGTAACTCTCCTCCTGAACTGGTTACTGCTCTTTTAGAGCCTTCTGATGTGCCCGAACAAAAGGGAGCTCGTGTAACAGCCCTTGTTGATAGCCTTCTGCAGCCCAGACAACGCTCCGACAACCTGAGGTTGTCCTGAGGATGACCTACACCGTACGAAAGTATGACCTGAGGAAGCCCTCAAATGAACCTCAAGTGGTCCTAAACCAGTCCGTTTGTCCGGCCTCAGATCGTCCTCAGGGCATCCAGAAAAGAGCACATTATGATGAGTCTAGTACTTTTTGAGGACGAAGCATACAAGACCTAGGCACTCATCAGACCTTACGAAAAGTTGCTCTAATTCTTCTTTTGGAGCGCTGAAATGACAACTGATCAATCAAAAGTGCCTGAACATGCACACTCTTTAAAGCACTGCCTGTGAGGTTTCAGTAACAATTTCTTCAAGTATAGCAATAAAAACAGCAATGCACAGAAAACATGTTTATTTTCAGGAATGAAACTTGGCAGTTTTCACTAGATGAGACTTCTTGCCCTGTGCCTTCAGAGGTCTTCATCCGATGGGCTTGACAACGCGACACTTTGAAGACATTCTGTAGTAATAGAAAGCAGCATATCTTGAAGCACAAGTGAATTTAGAGTATCAATAAGAATATTAAGACAATAACAGCATGCCAGATTTGAAAGCATAAAATGAAAATTATATTACCATAATGTGCAGGTACGAACTAGCCATTATATAATGGTGAAAATGATTTATATAGTTCATGCTTGCATACACATCAAAATTCGAGTAAGGCAAGAAAATTATTTAAACTATAACAGCAAAAGTATCATATGTTATGATAGCTTCAACAGCACAGATAATAAAACTCACCCTCATGGTGAGTGCGAGAAGTTCTTAAGCGCTGCTTCTGGAGCTTTTCCCCAGCATGCCGAAGCCACACTTTAATCACACACTCGATGTCATTTTTTTTGTTTCCGGAAAATTTCGCCTCACGGCCTCTGAAAAAGTACAAAGTTCATAAAACAGGAATTACACAAACATAATACATTAATATAATGCTACATAGGTTGTTTGAAGAAGTACCTCTAGTCAGCATGATCGACATTTTGATAGGTGGGCACATCATCATTAAAGGTCCTTGCCATCCTTCCCCATGTTAATTTCAAGAGTACTGACATTGACACTATGTGTTGCATTACAAGAAGAACACCACGAAGAAGACATCATTGTAACTTTTTTGAAACCTAGCATGCAAAGAATGATGAGGCGCCTTTGACGAAAATACGTCCATGTATGAAAATGTTGACCAGCTTGTCTTAGGTACTTATTCCTGTTTAGAGATCCTCAGTGATCACTATGAGCTTCCATCTGTTAGTTTTCATCTGTACATAAGATTTCCACTACAGTTAAGAATGCCTAGTAGTGCTACCTGATAATAACTTCTGCAAGTAGTGAATGCTTGCGTATGTGTGCCATGCAAGTATACTAGTGTGCTTGAAGAAGCTGCAGGGTTTCTTACTGACAACAGATATTTCATGCTAAAAATTTTCCACGTTTAAGCACATAATTTTAATTAGCAAGCATCCTAAAAAATTTAATGCTTTCATGAAAAGATTGTTCTTTTGCTATTGACTTCAAATGAAAGATAATGTGGATAACAGACTTAGAAATGTCTGTACTCAAACACGGCTCTTGCAGCACATGGTGTTGTGAAACAAATTACTCACTGCAAATGACATCTGTGACACCTAGATCCACAAACTTCCTTTTGCCTTTTGGCCTGCCCAGCTGAACTGCACAGCAACCTCAAGGCTTAGCAGAAGCTCCAGCATCCTCCTGGCTGCTGCCCCAAAAGTTGAGCCACCAAGGCCAGCAAGCTGCTGTATCTGTACAGTTTTGAGGTCATTATTTTTTTTAGAAGAGTAGCTTAATGCAGTGACTAGAAAAAAAATTATAGAAAAATATAATGAATGACGTACAAGCTTTAGCTTAATGTTGCCATCAGCAGCAAGTCTCCCCTCAAGACTTAGAAATTGGTCAATATCCTTGACCGGTGTCAAAACCACATCATCATTTGTCTCATCTTGAAGCCTCACTGTTGTGTTGAAAAGGTGCTGCTGCATGGCATCAACCTGTCGTCCCAGCTGCTCTAGCCTCATCAGGATAGTTTGCGAAATTCGCATGAGTTGACGCACGTATTCTGTAAAGACGTGTTCATGAAGTAATAGCGCTGAATTGCAACATATAAAATGGCAAAAGCTGAGATAACATTGAAAATGAGAAGTGCTACTAAACACAGCAAAACAAGCACACAGTTGTTTATGGCTTCTCTGCACATTATTGTCGGTTTTAGAAATTTGTGCCTACATGGCTTCAGTTATTTTGTTAGCATGCTCAGTGATGCCTTTTTAGGACCTGAATACGCATGCAGAGTTGACACTGAGATGAAGCACCTTCATTGCGTGCTGTGATTCAGTGTACCCATATATTTACAACCTAGTTTTCAACAAAAACTTGGAATAAGTTCAGAAAAATTGTTGAAAGTTAGGTTATTAAGTGAATTTGTGAAAAATAGAATAAGCAGAAACAGATACTTTAATGTTTTAAGCACTGAAACAATGTGTGACCAGACCATACATATAACAGTTGCCATAGTTTTGCAGCAAAGTGATGCCACTATCACTTTCCCAACGAAAGCAAAAAAAAATGTTTAAAATATAACTCTTCATTTATGGGGTAAAAGCGTGCTCATCGCCATCAAAGTGACACACAGTCCTCATTTCCACTGTGATCAAGAGGCATGTTCTCTACACTAAATAGGCGACAACAGTTGTTTATGAATTAAAAGTATTAATTGTGGCACCTTCGCTTCAATTTTTCTGAGACATCAGGTATTTACACTTGATAAAGCAACTACAGTTAGTACATTGTTCCGAAATTGCAAATAAGCAATTATGCTGCTTACGACTGGCACAGCTATAAGACAAAACGTTTTGCTTAGCACTTGCAAAGATTTTAATCTAAAGAGAAAAAAAACTGTATTCCCTAGACAATAAATACAAAGATTGTCTTCACCTCTGAAGTGGCACCCGGGTAAGAAAGCTTTAATGTTACTTACCAGGAGGTGAGCTTCTATTGCTAGAGGGGAAGCCTAATGAAGACCCATGGGTATTATTGTGTGCAGTCCCTACAGAAGCATAGATGAAGGTTTTAAGATGCACTTCTAAAAACTAGCTCTGAACATTTCATCGAAAGTATTCTTACATGAAGGGCCTTGCTGACTACTGTTATGTTGCTGCAACACTTGCCTTTCAAGGTTGTCTGCATGCTCTGTAAGTGACAGTTCCTACAAGTGACAGTTGCCATTGTTTTTGCTACAAAGTGATGCCACTGTCATTTCTGTCTACTGAAAAAAAATATTTTTTTTTTGATTATGGGGTAAAAGCGTGCTCATTGCCATCGAAGTGACACGCAGTTTTCCTCATTTCCACTGCGATCAAGAGGCATGTTCTGTACACCAAAAAGGTGATAACAGTTGTTTATGTATTAAAGCTTTAATTACTGGCACCTTAGCTTCAATTTTTCTGAGACAACAGGCATTTACACTTGATAAAGCAACTACATTTGGTACATTGTTCCGAAATTGCAAATAAGCACCCTATGTTGTTTACCACTGGTGCAGCTATCAGACGAAACGTGTTGCTTAGCACTTGCAAACCTTTATAACGTACAGGCAAAAACACTTTGTATTCCCCAAACAATGAATATAAAGGTAGTCTGCATCACAATAGGTGCCGATCTAAGGAAGCTCTAATGTTACTTACCAAAAGGTATGCTTCTAGTGCTAGGGGAATTGGAAGGTGTGTGTCTACTGGTAGGAGAATTCCTGATGACATTTTGCCCCTCATTATATCCTGCTCTCTGAGCAGGCATAGATGATGTTGAGGGAAAGCCTAAGCCAGGCTCGTGGCAATTATTGGGTGCAGTCCCTGCAGAAGCATAGATGAGCCTTTTAAGCTGCACAATTCTAAAAACAGCCCCTGAGCATTTTATCAAAAATACCGTCTTACATGAAGCCCCTTGCTGACTGCTGTAATGCTGCTGAAATGGTGGCCCTTCAAGATTGTCTGCATAAAAAGAAAAGGGACAAGAATCAGAGTGATGGGACAGTTATTTTGGCCAGTTACGCGAAGCTCCCACCATCTTTCCATCAACACTTGCTGCAAAGCTTTAGTTGCAAAGTGATGCAAAGCTTTAGTTGTTCCAGAGTTTAGAAGGCTGGAACTACATTTACACTTGACACACCAACTACAGTTAGTAAGTTGCTCCAAAACTGAAAAGAAGCATCCATGCCATTTAGCTCTACCATAGCTTTAGACTAAACATATTGCTTAGCATATGGAAAACTTGGTGCCTAAAGTAAAATAACAACTTGCATACATAACACACAATAAATATGAAGGTAGACTTCACACGTAAAGTGACACCCATGGAAGGCAGCTTTTGTATCACTTACCCAGAGGTCTGCAGTTGTTGCTGTATGAACCTCTGTAAACATTTTGACCCTCAGGTGATGCCATTCTCGGTGAAGGGGCTCTTTGTGATGGCCTAATGCCTGCTGGTGAACTGGAGTCGAACGCAGGCACTTCACTGATATTGGATCTAGTCACTGCAGAAACATAAGTGAAGCTTTGAAATGTAATTCTACACATGCACTTTGAGCTGTTCATCAAACATAGTCTTACATAAAGCCCCTTCCTGGCCTGTGGTGCGATGCTGCTGCAGTGGTTGCCGCCCTGCCTTGTCTGCATACCCTGTTAGAAAACAGAGGCAAGAAAAAATCAGCGGGTAATGGGACAGTAGAATAGTCATGTGAAGATTAGACAAATTTTCCATTGTTTCTTCATGGCTCCTGAAAACCTGCAAACCTTGCATGAAATCAGCTCCGTCTACAACATAATCAAAGTTACAAATCTGTGCAGTGAGAATGATATAAAAAATGAATTTCAAGCGCTAGCATCACTCTGTCGTGGAATACTCAACACCAAGCAAAGGGCAAGTGTCCAAATTCGATACGACCCTGGGTATTTCTCTTCTCAGTTTTAATTTTTTGTGTCTATCAGTTACTTTTTCATGTCCATCAGGCCACTGATGGCCATGGCGACCCCACTCAATGCAAGAACGGGTGTTCAAGAGCTGCTCTAAACTGATGTGCATGGTTTACGTACAATATCCCCTTTGGCAAAAACTCTTGGTTGGAAGCGAGTACTTAAATGCGTGCTGACATTCTCAGTTATCGCAGGTCAGAAGCATGTCATATGCTATTTGACATGACATTTTGGAAAGGAAAATGAAAAGTAAATAGAGGTTAACATGGAGTTATTAACCAGTTTGCCACCCTGCATAGGGGTGTAGAAAAAGGGGTTGTAAAGAGGAGAGATAAATAAAATAGCAAGAAAAAAAAACAGGATTTTATCCCAGAAGCATATCACCTTCATGTTCCAATGACCGTGGCTGGGTGGGCAGTGGCCGATTCTCTAAATTTCTTGGTCGCTTGTGTTTTCTCCCTAAGAAAGCAAGCCAGAATCAGCATTTCACAGCCCTAAAGCCAGATAACCCAGTGTTACTTTTGGCGGTAGATAACAGAAAACAGTGTGAGCAATTCCGTGGGGCTATCATTGTAAAATAGGCATTGCAGGATGTAAAAAGATTCAATACTATTAAAAAACATAAGTACAAGCAGTTCACTTTACGTAAAGTTCAAAAATGGTGTTATACGTCTTATCATTGAAGCTGGAGGTGATGGTGCCCCTTCATCATCTTCAGACTCATAGGATCTCTTATTTTTTTTTCTTCTGCCTTTCCCAAGTTCTGCCTCGCCGTCCAAGTTGGATCCATTTTCTACCCTTGGCAGATTTGCCCGTGCTTCGGCATATGTATCTGCAGAAAGAAGGGCAACAACTACTAATTAAATGATAAGCATGATCATTTCTCAGATCTGTCACACATAACAAGTAGAACTCCAATTCCTTTGCATAAGTCATTACCAAGCAGGTACTAAGAGTCACCCATGATATTAAAATGGATCATTTAAATTTTGCTGCAATGACAGCTGACATGCAAGTATTCACAAAATATGAGATACTTGATTTCGCATAATTGTTCTTTTTTTCCTGATATTCTCGAAGCTATCTTCTGATATTCTTCGAAGCCATCTTCTGATATCTTTTCCTGATATTCTCGAACCCATCTAAACTTTTAAGAAGTTACTTTGATCTAAAGTGGCAATTAGAGTTACAATGCTGAAATTGCAGTTTATTACTACCTTTTACTTCATTGCTGACCAAATCGCTGAAAAACGTGCAGTAAAACAGCATAAATAAGGAATAATTTACCAAATTCTCGGACAACAGTGCAAGGCACTTCTATCCAGTCAGCCCCTGGAGTCGCTTTCGCCTTCAACAAACTATGTACATATTTAGTTTGTCGAGGCCACAGGCAGCCGTCGCCTTTCAGCCAACTTTTGAGGATGATCCCAGATGTATCATCCTCTTCTGGGAAGAGAACGACAACGTATTGACCTTGCAAAGAAAGAGAAGCCAAATTCAAATTCTGTATACATTCTGACACAGTTGTGAAAGTTTATTACATGTGCACTGTAGCATGCAAAAGAGGGAAAACAATGCTTTTCCTTTTCAAATACACTTTCAGGCATTTCTGTGAGATGTTCTTCAGAGGCCAATACCGCAGACTAGAAGGCTGAGACACTGAGTAAATTCCCAGTATGGAGGAAGGGCATGGCAGAGAATAAAAATCTTCACACTTGAGGAACTTCCTTCCAATTATGCATGGCTCACCGCACGGGAGATGAGCAAAATTGTCAATAACGACGATTGACCCATCACTTAGCCTACAGCACCCATTTCTCTTTTCAGCTCTAAGAATGACATTGCCAGGCAATGTTACTTTTTTAAACTCGGGGCCTCGGCATGGAGCAACAAGTGGCCCGTCAGCATGCTCTGCAGCAAATACGACATGGCTTTCAGTTTTCTTATGCCTCAGAGGACGGTGTGCCTGCTCAGCAAGCCTGTTGCAAAGTTGCTCCAAGGGAAGGTCTGGCTTTCTCAGCATTCTCTTTAACGAGGACATATGGTTTTCAAATGGGAAGGCACTCCATGAGTCCAAGGGGCCAAGGTGTGTAACATCATCTGCCAAATGACACAGGCCATGCACATTGTGTGAAACATGCTCTTTGCCATAAATGCTTATGAATGTCCGGATAAAAAACTTGAGCATGTTTCCGGCATACTCTATCTCACTTGCAGGTGCAGCTGGTGTGGAAAGAACAGAGATCCCCACATGTAAAGCTAAGAAGTTCTTGTACATGTGTGCAGGAATCAGTGATGACAAAACAACGGGTCCTCCATATAAAAGAAAAAAGCGAAACTCAGTCGCTTTCCACCGATCAAGTTCAGCAATGCTCCTCGGCTTTCGGCTAAAATCACATGGAACACACCGTGCAATTTGAGAATTTTTTTCCGACATCTCAAGACGCACTTTGCTTCCAAGTCTGGTCACTTTTGGGCCACGTACCCACAGTGTCAAGAGCTTGTTCATGACACCCAAGCACACAAGGTGCATGTAATCTAATGGTATATCTTTCACTAGGTCAAAAGGAAGTTCCTCAAGAATACTTTCGCCTGTGTGATGCTCCTCCTGGACTTTTAAGCGAAAGCTGTCATCTGTTCGCTTGCGAGCATTGACGTTTGGGAAGCACACCCTGCCCTCACAGTAGACACCTTTTACGTCACATTTGGTGCAGCTGTAATAGCCTGTGTGGCTTCTGACATATAATACAAATGCCTTTGCTGGTGCATCACATATGAGGGCATACAAGCTAACAGGAATTGCAGTTTCTCCAATGGTAATCCCTGTTGTGATAGCAGCATTTATGTCACAAACAAATGGTCGCAAAAAATCATTCGCGTTGTTGGGCTTGCTGCTTCCGAAAAAAACACCCACTATAAATGGTGCTTTGTCCTCCAAATTACTTATGCGTCCCAGTATGCACCAAAATTGGCCCCGTGAACTTTTTGAAACCGGCAGACCGTCAATGTTGAAGCTAAGCTTCAAAATTCTTGGTAGTTCTGCACAATCTTGCAGCACTCGCTGTAGGCCTGCACTGAGGCCGAAATGATGGTATTTCCCGCCGGCCAGCTGCAACACTTCCAGGCACTTCTTGGGCGTCTGTAACAATGCCCTTGCAGTTGAAGGGAGCGCGCTGAAGCATTCGTGGGACTGTAGTACTCTCAAGAGCGATGTAACTGAAGTGGCGATGCGCGAGATTGTAAGGCCCACGCTTGCAGTCTCTCACGAAAGGCCAGCAGCTGTCCACACTGCCGCGTTCACAAACTGCTCTTCGTTACTCCCAGTCGGTGCCAATTCGAAAGAATCCCCTCTGCCTCACCTGCGAGGTCGCCGAAGTCGAAGCCGCAGCGCTGCTGTCATGGAAGGCACCGCCGTTCGAAGTCTGTGTGATCGTGAGGCACAGAAACACTGCAGCCGCTGGGGTAGCACGCGTCGCCAGAAATCAAAACGTGTCTTGGGGCACATCCGTTTCTGAACGATCGAGGAGTGTGCCGAAGGCGTTCTCTGTCATGAACACAAAGGCGACGATGGCCGTCTTCGAGGTCGACCGCACAAGCCTCGGAGGGCAAGTCGCTCTCTCTTCGGCGTTGCGGGAATCTCGGTTCAACGTACCGCGTGTCATTATGACATCGGCCTCACTGTCAATAAGCTGAAAACTAGCATTGACGCGCCGATTAATTTCACGCCGAATTTGCGATCCGCGCTCTCAGCCATCTTGAACAGCACAGAGCACAGTAGAATGGTGGCTAGACCAAAGAACACCCACCACCAGAACACGTTGTTAGCTAGTCAGTTGTTTTACTAAGATATACAGCGCGAGGCTGAAAATCAACTGTCCTCGTCTTTTTTTATTTATTTACCTTTGGCGGCTTACAACTTCAATATGAAAATTTAACAGAAGACACTCACCTGGCATGCTTACGATTCTTTGAGGGCTTCTGCGAGAAGCTTCCTCTATGGCGAGAAGTGTTGTATTGGAATGTTGACTCGACCAATGACTCGACTTGACTTACTGCAGGCCCATAATGATGATGATGATAGTTGCGTCACTTTAAAATGGGTAAACAGCAACGTTACTGGATGAGGACAGTTGGAAAACTCGCGCGAGGAGGCGGCCGCAAATCGTCGCCCATTCCAGGTGTCGCTGGCATCGCTTTGCGACCACGTCACGTGACCTCTCCGCCGCGCAGCCGGCATCGCGCGGAGCAGACGGAGCAGCGACGCGGCTAGCAGGGCCTGCGCTTGCAGACGATTTTTTCCCTGCTGGTAATAATGGTTAAGTAACCTAAATTAAGTAACGTTAAGTAACCTAAATATAAAAAAAAGGCTGGCTCGTTGTTTCGTAACAGACCTTATGCATTAAATTTCAACCATGACAGAGCAGACGATAATGTTTACGCTGTTCTGCTTTCTGGAGAGAAAGCGGACGGTGACTCTGAGCAAGCAATTGTTCGCGGTTGAATTTTGCTCCCTTCGGGAGAACGGTCGGCATGCCGAGGTGTGCTGTGCCAGGCTGTCGAAGTGGATATTCATCGGCAACGTCAAATGAAGTGCCCTTCGTGCAGCGACACTTTTTCAAGCCACCGAAAGACCCCAATGTGCTGAGGGAGTGGAACAATGCGGCAGGCCGTGCAAACTTCGAAGTTACTCAAAGATCATACATATGTGATCGTCACTTTGATGAAGCGGACATTTGCACCTCCTTCCAGCATGTTGTGAATGGCGAAACAGTCTCGATTCCGCGAGGACGCTGGGAACTGAAGAAAGGTGCGGTACCGCGGCATTTTGCTAATTGCGCTGAGCTTGATTTGAAGCTTTGTGTAGAAAATGTTGGCACAAATGCAGCAAGCGTGCTAGTGGCCGAAGATGACATTACCCCAGTTCTTCAGAGTGAAAGTGAGACGTGCACTGAAATGCTTGAACACGAAAACAGGGCTGCCTCAAATGCTGAAAGCATGGAAGTCATCATGAAAGAAAGCTCCACAGGTGAACATTGGTTTGGTGGCATAGAAGACTTGCCCGTGTATGGAGCATGGTGTGTGCAACACACGGATGAGCGTGTTGTTTTTTACAAACTTCAAGAAATTGGTGGCGTAGTTTTTATTGAAAGAGCTGTCGTTATAAACAAAAACTCGACCGTTGTTGTCAGCGCTAAAGGGAAACTTGTGCCGGAATCGTCTTACACCTTTATTAACAGTGACAAGCTCAATTTTACCACCTTGAAAGACGCAGCGCCCTTTCTTCATCTCATTGAGAGCCTGGGTATCTGCAATGGTTTTGATTCTCGTTTATGTCCTTTAATATCAACTTCTAAGACGGCTGAAAGGTCTGGGAGAACATGGAGAAGCAAGCGATGTGCAGTGCTGTCGGCGAAAGCCTTATGCGTTCAGTGCAGGAAAGCAAAAAAGAACTTGCAGTGCAGGCAGAAACGACGTTCAAGAAAGAGCAAGTACGTGCCTTTGCCATCTGCGCTGTTGAGAAATTTAAGAAAGAAGACTATAAGAGCAACAGTGCTGCGGGAGAAATACAAGAGGGACCTGCTAAGCTTGAAAAAAAAGTTGTCATCAGATCCAAGCAATGCACTGTTGAGCGAGGTTTTAGCTGAACTTCCACCACTGCAGCAACTTGCATTTCGGACAGCACTGCAGTCGATGAAAGCGAAATCTTCAAGAGGTGTGCGGTATGACTGTGGGTGGCTGCTGAGTTGCCTTCTCTTGAAGATTTCAAGCCCACGTGTGTACCGCTTGATGTCAAGAATGAAAATCCTCCCTCTTCCAACTTCGACTAGGCTCCGACAAATAATAAGAGGAATGCCTTGTGAGTTTGGCTTTAATAAGCTCTCCCTTTCCAGCATAGGGGCTTTCATGAAGACTATGAAAGGAGTCCAGTGTTACGGCACACTAGTAATAGATGAAATGAAGGTACGCCAAGCCGTAGCTTTCAACCGTCAAACATACAAGATTGATGGGTTCGTAAATTACGGAGACGGTGAAGTTTCAGCAGCTACTGCTGATCATGCATTGGTTGCAATGTTTGTGCCTCTATTCCACTCATGGGTTCAACCGATTGCAAGTTTTGCAACAAAAAACGCAGCCCCCGGACACGTGCTCGCCAAAATAGTTCTTGATGCAATCGTGCAGCTACGCAAACACAACGCCATAGTCGTCGCAGTAATCAGTGATGGCGCCAGCACGAACAAAGCAATGTGGTCCAACTTTGGCATATCAGGAAAGCTTCACACAGCAAACCACAAAGTTCAGCACCCATGCGAGCCAAATCAAAGCCTCTACTTCCTTTGCGATGTACCCCACATTGTCAAATGCATTAGAAACCATCTTCTTCGACACAAATATGGCATGGTAAGTACCACGTACAGTACAATATCGCAATAAATAGTGTCGCGGTGCCAATCAAAATACATTTTCTTCGCAGCACTACATACGACTGACGGACTTTTTTTTTCCCTCTCTTCTTCTTGCTCATAGATTGGTGAACATCGCATAAACTATGACCACTACCGAGTTTTGCAAGAAGTAGACGGCAAAGAGCAACTCCGCATTGTTCCGAAGCTTACCGCTGAACACGTCTGCCCTGACAACATGAGAAAAATGAGTGTGAAGCTCGCAGTACAGGTAAGATTACGAAAAGCTGCTTTTGAAAGAACTTATAGCTTACCTGATTATTTAGGCAAATTCTTCACATGTGAAACACAAACTTAACTGGTACTGTGAAGTGTTCTCCTTAAGTCTTTTTGCGATTAATAAAATGCCCCTATACGTTTTCTGTCCCCTAGCTGCTCAGCCGAAGTACGGCTATCGGCCTTGATGTGTACCGGAGACTCAAGCAAGATGGCCTGGAAGACTGCGAGGGGACAGCCGCGTTTACCCGCATCATAAATGACCTTTTTGATGCCCTGAACATCAAGCTTCCTCGTTTTGGGATAAGGAGCACATCCAAGGAAATTAAGGCAAGGGCGATAAAATGTGCTACTTTTGAAGAACATTCGCAATAGGTAATGTTAATCAAGAACTGAGGCACTGGGCATATAAATAAAATACAAAACGCCGACAAACATTTACACCAACAAAAGCCTAGTTTAAGTAGACATTTATTTTGTAATTGAAGGAAGGTATTATTGAAAGAAAGACGACGAATAAATGTCTTGGAACTTAGAACTTCTCCTTCCAGATAACTGAAATAAACGTCGATGAGAAGGCGACACGCCGCAAGCGTGATTTCAAGTATTACCAGCTTCCATTTTCATTCAGTGGCACACATGTTTCATTAAAAAATCAGGTTAAAAATAACTTTATGCCTTTCTTCAAAGGTCCCTTTTTTTATAGGCGTCGACGTTTGCATGTAAGAGCTAGCTTGCACAAAAAAGTAATGTCTAACATAAACTTTTCCCTTTTCTAGATCATCCAAGATTTCATGATTATCTTGGACTTGACAGAGAGAAACCACGTTGAGAAAGGAACAGCCATGTTCGCATCTCAAGTAACAATGGAGTCTCTAAGGGTGACTTTGTCATCTATCTTGGAACTAACAAATGACCTCCTTGCTAAAGGTGCACGCTACGTGCTCACAGGCAAGCTTAATCAAGACCCCTTGGAGGTGAGATTAGCATAATTCCATAAAACTGCGCACTTACTTCATTGCATGGAAAATAAACAAAACGGTTATGAGGAAGCATAGCGTGGTTTTAAACAGTCGTCATATCTCTATGTGAGATGTGCAATTCCCGCCTGAGACTTGCACTCTATAAATCCTCTTTATGCATTCCATACGCCATGCGTACTTTGACTTCTGAAAGAGATACATACGGTGAACTGACGTACGGCTTTATTACTACCATTACAGAGGTTCTTCGGAATCACCAGGAGCTTTGGAGGTGACGAAGACCATCCGACGATCCTGAGCTTTTCCCATATCTACAGGTTGCTGAGCCTGTACACACCTGTCAAGGCTTCGATTGCAGGCAATGTCCAAGAGGAGCCAACCTTAATACTAGCCACAGTGCAAGAGACGATGAAGCAAGGGAAGAAGCAGCAGCTGGCAACGTATGAAAAGTTGCGTGAGACAATCAGCGCAAAGATTTCCGAGGTTTGCTTGCCTGGAATAAGTTCAGCATCCCACTCGGGACCGACACCGCTTCCGGACCACGGATATGCTTTGCCAGCAGTACAGGAGTGCGTCGTATATTACCTCTGCGGCTACATTGTACATTCTTTTCTGAAGCACGTCAACTGCGCTGCTTGCATAAGCAGCATCCAGTCAACAAACACTAAATTCCCCGCTTCACTACTGACATTGGCAAGAGAATTCAGGAACGGAAGCCTCAAGCATCCCTCTACAGAACTTTACACAATGTTGAAACGCGTCGAAGAAAAACTGTCTCTCGTGCTAGGAGAAAACCATCTGTGCGCCGACATGTTTTGGGATGCGCTGGATGTCATCAAAGACTGCGATGTTCCAAGCGTTGGTTGTTCAGTTCATAAGGACATCCTGACATCGGAGATTGTACACTCATACGTTGTTTTGAGAATGCACTTTTTTACGAGAGATGTTTGTAAGAAGCTGAGTGCTTCTGGCAGGGTGTCTTCTACAAAAAAGAAAGCCAAACTTCTCTAGACTACGCACCAATAAACTACGCAGTGATTTAACATAGAAATGTTGCCAAGTAAAAAAAAAAACAGGAACTTGAACAAATGTGTTTGGTGGCTTTTCTTACAGTTATTGCACAGCAACATGCACAGATCTCAGTGAATTAAGGGCTGTAATGAGGACACGGGAACATCGGAACAGCATTAAATAACCTAGCAGGAGTCCCACGTAGAACACAGCCAGCTTACCGGCGACGCATGTCATTGGTTCGAAATTTGGGTATTCGAGTGTCAAACTAAAATGACGCTGTTCTTTTTAATTCGATTGCATTCCTCCCTTCATGAAGAGGTGACGAAGAGATGAAGGAGCTTCTCCAAGCTCCTTAATTCATATCCACTCGATTGGCATTCCGTGTTCCTAGTCATGCACATTCGATACATTTAATTGTCAATCGGAAAAACAATCTTTACACTTAATAAAACTTCTAGGCGCGTAAAACTTTTTTTTCGCCTTTTGATTTTTTTTTTTTTTTTTTTTTTTTTTTTTTTTTTTTTAAGCAAGTGATCTTATCTTCTTTCTAACATATATATGTGTGTCGTAGTAGTAATAAATCAGTTGAAAGTCTGCGCTCGTCCTCGTCTCTTGTGTTAGTTGTCTGAAGTTTTACGCGCCTAGAAGTTTTATATGGATTACCAACTAGCCCAATCCCACACTTTACTTAAGTACACTTAATAAAATAGTTGAATTTGCACAATTTAAAAACTGTATCTACTTACAAACGGTATGCATTTAAAAATACAAGCCGACTGTTACGAACCATTCTGTTAAAATTTGTTTGTAACTACGTGTTTCTTCTGCAAAAGATTGCTGTGCTGGGAACCAAAAAAAAAAAAGTGAGTTGTCTCGTAAGATATACATCATCGTATTATTCTCCCTGACAAGCCACACAGATAACGCACCGCAGCGTAAATGCAGCGGCATTGTATACAATAAAAACATGCGCAAGTTTTCAGAACTCGCGACTGTTTCATTTAGAACGCTTACTGTCGCTTTCAAATAAGAGCATGCTTTTATAGAAAACGCTCAATGTAAGGACTGCACGAGCAATGCGATCTCAAAAAAATTTTCAGGAAATTTCAGTTTATGCTCTCGGAGGCACCTATTCATTAGGCAAGCACAAGCTCATCACATCGAAACACCTGCGGAATGCAGTCAGCACCATCAGCACGTGGCAAAAAGAACCACTCAGACTTCGTTCAGAGCTCCAAGCTGTGTCCACCTTCATCTATGCAGTGGTTGTAGCAGGAAGCTCTCAATATGCATCCGCTAACAAGATTCCTTGAGATATGAAGTGCTCCAAAAACGCTGCGCCGTCCTTCGGAGACGGGGCGCGGAACAGACGACGAGCAGACGACGCACGAAGCTCGTCACATGACCAGGTCGCAAAGCGATCGCAGCGCCCCCGCGTTTTGGGAGACTGTGAGCGGCCACGCCGCTTCCGTGGCGAGCCCATGCAGTTTCCCAACTGGCTCCATCCAGTAACGTTGGTAAACAGTGTCGTAGACATCCAGATTTAAAAGCACCTTGACTGCGCATGGTGACCGCATTAAGGTACTGCTTTTTTTTTGTTAGCACCACCACAACTTCAGTCGCCCATTCGTTTTCCCACAGCGTTCTAGTTCCAATGCTGCTCTATTCACGATAACCTAGGCCAGCCCAGTCGTCAGCATGGTCAGTTGTCGTCTGCTCGATGGGACCGTGCGGCATTGCAACACTGGACACTCGAGAATAACGTGCTCGCTATTCACAGTTTTCACGCCTGCATTCATTTTGGAGCCGACACCGTTTATACTCGCACCAAACTTGGTCTGCCGCACGTGCGTTCATTGGGGAAACGGGTCAGACCACAGTCAGTGCGATATAATTCCGTATGCACGTCGGCGGTAGATCACGACCAACGAAAACGTGCAGGCAGAAAGTTTGGCCTACGATCACTTACAAAGTAAATAAATAAATAATAAATAAAAGAACACGTCTTTCTCGTGTTGGCTTGAAGTGCTTCCTCGTGTAACTATCTCATTTTAATGATCGAGAAGTACTTTACTATTATGACTCGAAAGTAGGCATACGAAATCCCGTGGACTTATTCGTTAACAGCCAGAAAATTAACCAAACACGAATTGCGAAAGCTGCATGCACCTACGAAACATGCATATCCTCAAAACGTCCTCGAGCAGACGATATCAGGACAATTCTTCGTCCTTAAAAAGGTCTCAAAGGGGCATTTTGGGGATAATCCTGCAAGTGTCGACTAGAGGACCAAATGAGGACGTCCTGAAACTGCCGAGGACGTTTGTACCATATGAGGACGACCTCAGGTCGTCGAGTGTTGTCTGGGTGGATGAAGGAAACCTGCCGCATGCTGAAGAAGTGCTGGAAAGGCATGCCTCCCTGCTTGACCATGATGGCATGGTAGAAGAAAAGAGCGATAGCCGGCTAATTTTCTATATAGCTGGCTATGTTGTGCGCAAATCTCTGAAAAAATTTCCATGCCCTGATTGTGCATCTTGTCTCTGCATTATGCCTCTGCAAGCAGAATCGAACTGTAATGCCACGCTGACGAATCAGTTCAACCATGGGGGCCTGCTCTACCCATCAGACGCTCTTGAAAAGCTCATCACAAAGCTTGAAAATGATTTCACTGTGTTTTTCAGCCGGAACAAGCTTCATGCCGAAAGCTTAGTTAGCTTCTTGTTTTTTCTTCAGGGTCATGAACTTGAAAAAGTTGGCTGCATTGAGCACGGTCGTAAGCTCACTACAGCGATTATTAAGTTTTACGCACTCACCAGACTGCACTTCTTCACGAAAGCAACAAATACGAGCCTGTCCTCTAAGCGAGAGAAGCAAAAGCTCTTGAAAATGCGGCGGTGTCAGTAAGGTGTTCAGTGCTGTTCATGTAAAAAATGTAAATAAGTTCCTGGTACAGTGGCTTTTGTAATTGAGAAATCTGGCATTGTGAATCTGTTAGGAGTTCGGAGCTGCCAAAGTGAAAAATGTAAATAAATTCTTGACACTGACTTCTGCAATAAATGTTGATATTGTAAATTGACATTTTGTATTGGTTTGTTTTTCTTTACTGCTGGTAACTCTTTCGCAGGGGGTCCTGTTCGCCAGTGGTTTTGTCTGGCGCACTGTCATTGCTTTGGCATTATTTATTTTTCTGATTACTTCGAGGCGTGAAGGGCCAATCGAAGAGATAATGACCCTTGTACGTGGGTGCGTCCAGGCCTGCCACCGAGTGCAGGGAAAGTAAGTGTCCATAATACATTGTATATATAAAAAGTTGCGAGAAGAGGGTTTGTACACTGCCTGCGATTCTGCACATGACAACAAAGTCGCGACAGCAGCCTACGGGAGGGAATGGTGGTCGCGGATGAGGAGAGAAATATGTTATTTTTTGTGCTGAACAGTCGTACCGCTGGGAGCCCCTGGTTGGCCACCCCTTAATTACCGCAATTTAAAAAGTAGCATTGGTAACGCGCGAGCGGCCAATCTATGAAGAGGTGGCACGGCAGGAGGACACAAAATCTCAACAAGGCAGAGAGCTCGCATAGATTTCGTTCAAATTCACACGCTTTATTTACAGTCTGCATGGAAAACGCAGGATAACAAGGCAATCGCGTGCTAAGCCATGAAACCACCACTGCAATTTCAACGCAAAGCGTCTGCTCCGGCTTGCTGCCTCCCCAGCTTGCCGAAAGAGCAGCGCGCCAGAGAGCGGTACTGCCACCTGGCGGCTGTATCGCATACCGTTTCCCCTCGGCCGGCCTGTTCACGACACTAGGAGAAATATTCTAGGCACTCTACTCTTATGCTAGAGCATAGCCTCCTATATTTTATATAGGAGGCTATGGCTAGAGAGGCGCTATCTGGAATCTGGACAGGGCAAAAGTAGAGTACGTCGTCAGCTGTAAAAACCCAAACAATAAGTTTTTAAATATTTTTTTTACTCTAAACTTGTTTTTTTGAAGCAAAAATTTTTTATAGTGTAATTTGTTAAAATAAATTCTAATGATTTATTGCTTTTGTAATTTTTGGTTGTCACTGTTCTCTTTCAGGTTTTGGGTAGGATTGTAGATGCGACTGTTTAGAAATGGACGTCGGGGAGCTGTTGAATTACAAGGTACTGTGTGGATCTTATGTCCAGATTTATTGACTTGTTTTAAAAGAGCCGTCATGGAGCCCTGTACGCATTCTTTTTTTCCTTACAATACAAGCCTGCCAAAGAGCCAAAGCGAGGCCTAGATGATGATGAAGAAGCAGCGGACACACGGCCGAGAAAGCGCCTGCAACACGGTGCCGCTGGAAGAGTTTCTCGTTTTGGTGAGGAAGTTACGAAATCCTTCAAGCGAAAAGTTATTTGTTTTCAGCAAGTAACTTTTTATACGCTCTACCGCAGCTCCTGTGCGGGATGACCCAGATTTCACGCCTAGAGTCGCCTTGGAACCCGCGGATGCTCCAGAACCTGATGCTGGCGTATGCTCTGGCGTATTTCTTCCGTTATCATCAAGTGCATAGACGGCGTTTGAGGCGCGAAATAAGAGAAGGACTAGAGTAGACATGAAAATATGCCTCTGCTACAAGTCCGTTTTGATAGACATATATTCAGGAGCAGGAGACTGTACGACGTTCTTTGATTTTGCACAGTATGGGACTATCAAGATAACGAGTACATGGTGGTGAGTTTCCTTATGAGCGCGTCATACCTGTGATGGTTTTGTACATGACACCGATAACAATAATTACAACATTAAGTAGCGATCACACTGGCGTGGTTTATGATACCTGCGCGGTGAAAAAGTGCTACACACAGTTTGTACATATTTAGGCACATAACCCATACTTTGCCAACAATACCACGTCACTAACAGAAAAACCTGGCGCACAGCACTAAGATTATTTATTACTTTTTTGTGAAGCACTGTGTAAACTAATAATTAAAAAATGTTCAAGGGAACAAAAAAAAAAAAATATGGCAACAAGTTTGTGTTGTCATTCTTGTTATCGATATTGTGCTCAAAACCATCTCTTGCATAGAGTGTTTATCAGAAAACCCACTGCCATGTACCTGTTACGTTGACAATCCGGTTTACCAGAGGAAATGTTACGAAACATACTTTGCATAATCATTGAATGCTGTATACTCATTTTCTTCCTTATATATATGCTGCCAGAACCTGGGTTATGCGTAATTCACTTGCCACAATTCTCTCTCTGTGTGCACGCTAACTCATACACTCACAGGGTGTTTCATGTAACTAGAACTGAATACTTTTAAAAAGTGGCTAATCGCACCTGAATGAAACCAACAACATTTAGTTAGTCATATTGTGGCACTTGAGGTATTTCTATTTTTTTTTTTGCTAATTAAGATGATTTATGCAAATTTATCAGTATCCAATTGAGGGCCAAGTGTGTTTCATTACGTTGTAGAGGACATTCTACAATGACCGATCTAATATTTTATGCCAATGTACAGGCGTGAGCATAAGTGTGCAAAACACGGGATCACGTGGCCGAAGGCATCGACGCGCTATCTAGCAACGAGACGCCTGCTGCGGCGCGCATGCACGTCTCATTGTATTGGTTGTCCTCTCATGTCGCTCTATTTGATGCGCTCGCAGCCAAAAGAACAACTGGGTGTTGCTCTCTTTAATCCATCAAATATGTGCTGTTTTCTTTTTTAAGTAGCGGCTCCGACAGCACCAGTTCTAGTGCCAGGCTTGCGTTGTTAATTGTACCGGTTCCTTAGCATAACTATGCGTAGCCAGCCTCACAAAAAATGATGAAGCCAAGCACACAAAATTAAGTTTTCTTAGCTCAGCTTGCCTATGTTGCATTAGGCCAAGTTGAACCTAAATGAGCCTAGTTATGATGAATTTCAATTACTTTGTGTTTTATGAGAACTTGCTCACTTAGCCCTAATTATTATGAGACTCGTTTAATGATGCTGTGACAAACGATGCTTGGTTCGATTTATCTATGCTTATCTGTGTGCTGCCTCATTAGCTTAATTATGCATAATTAGACTAATTATGCCACATGAAACTAGTATCTTGTGTGATTGGATATCCAACTATTTAATCAGCCATCACCAGTATGTATCTTAACACTAATTTGACACAAATGAGCTTATGCAGATGCGGCCTCGCCGCGGTGGTCTAGTGGCTAAGGTACTCGGCTGTTGACCTGCAGGTCGCAGGCTCAAATCCCGGCTGCGGCGGCTGCATTTCCGATGGAGGCGGAAATGTTGTAGGCCTGTGTGCTCAGATTTGTGTGCACGTTAAAGAACCCCAGGTGGTCGAAATTTCCGGAGCCCTCCACTATGGCGTCTCTCATAATCATATGGTGGTCTTGGGACGTTAAACCCCACATATCAATCAAATTATGCAGATGTGTTCTGCAGAAACCTGCAAGGGTTTACAAATCGAGTGGTTGTCTTTTTTTTCTTTTCATAAATAAGCTTAATTGGCATAGTCTCAGTAAAGGGTAATTAGTATCTCCCAAGGTTTGGCGCCTCTAGGCTCATGGTGAAGTCGACTCGAAATAATTGGCCGTGATAAAGTTTGCCTTGTTTGGGCTAATTTTGCTTCACTATACTAAATGATAGCATGATCAACTATGTTTAATTGGATTTGGCTGTACATAAACTTTTCTCAGCTCATCTAGGCGCATCGAAGCTTTACTGCGCTTGCCCCGCCGCGGTGGTCTAGTGGCTAAAGTACTCGGCTGCTGACCCGCAGGTCGCGGGTTCAAATCCCGGCTGCGGCGGCTACATTTCTGATGGAGGCGGAAATGTCGTAGGCCCGTGTGCTCAAATTTAGGTGCACGTTAAAGAACCCCAGGTGGTCAAAATTTCCGGAGCCCTTCACTACAGCGTCTCTCATAATCGTATGGTGGTTTTGGGACGTTAAACCCCACAAATCAATCAATCAATCATCATTTACTGTGCTTAACGTAAAAATAGCAAGCTTAACTGGAATTATTTAAACTTACTAGTGCTCGAATTTATTACGTAATACCATTCACGAATAGGCTAGATTAGATTCGGCCACACTTACATTCAATTAACTAGGCTTGTTTTAGTTCAACTTTGCCTAACGCGACAAAGGCAAGCTGAACTGAGAAAATTAATTTTGTGTGCTTGTCTTCATCAGGGTTTGAGAGGCTGGCTGCGATTAGTTATGCTAATCATCCGGCATAAATAACTATGTGAGCGTGGCATTGGAACAGACGCCCTGGCAGCCGCTACGTAAAAAAAAAATGGCACAAATTTGATAGAGCTAAGATAGCGACACTCAGGTGTCGTTTTTTCTGCGAACGCGTTGGAAAGAGTGACGTGAGAGGCCATCTGATACGACGAGACGCGCATGCGCACCGCAGCCGGTGCCCCGCCACTACGCACGTCCCATCGCTAGATAGCGCGTGGACACCTTCGGCCACCCGGCCCCATGGTCTGCACACTAATGCTCACGCCTGTACATGCTGCACTGTGATTTTATTTCTGGTTACAACTAAAATATGGATCACTAGTTATGAATTGCCTGGTACAATGTAATGAAACTCCTTGGTTCTAAAGTGAACATAAAATTCTTTTATAATTGATCTTAGTAATAAGGAAGTCCAGTATAAAAAAATATCACAAGACCTCTGTGAGAACTGAACCAGGTAGTTGATGAGACTACTACTGGTGGGAAGTTTTTGTTATGTATTTTACTCTATGTAGTGGTAGGTAATTCTAAAAATGTTGAAAAAAAATGAGGACATTTTACTTTTATTCAATGGTCACAAAACTCAAATTTATTACACTGCACAAAATGGTATTAACAAAAAAATTGCAGACACACTCTCCATTATGCTTCTCTTTCTCTTTTTTTTTGCATGATGCTCCGACAAATTAGTTTCAGTTTATTTAGCAATCTTTTTCAGCAATCATGTTAAAGTACAGTGATTCAATGTTTTCATACGATGGCAATTGTCAACACAAAACAAAATGTAAATCGGATTAAAAAGTGAAAAAGATGCAGGGACAGGAATTAAAAGCCGCTAAAAAGCAGCTTGACGGGATTCCTGACCCTGAGCAGATTGGCCGCAGACTCGTGGTGATGTAAAAAAATAAAATGCAAGCAGGTAAAACAGAAAAAGTACAAGAACGCATAACACAAGTAAGTAAATTATCAACAAATTTAGCAGCAAACTTCAACTGCAGACATAATGTAAAAGCGCAAACACTGAAAGAATGCGGCATAATATGGGAGAACAAAGTGAGAAGGAATACAAAAGAATATAATTTATATATATAAGAAACACTGCCTTGAAACAGTATGCATAATGAAAACACAAATACATAAAACAGTTCATGTTTGTACATGTGCATATGAAAAGGCAAAAATACACTTCTATTCAAACGAATTATCAAATTGAATATGATACTATGAAATAATACATAGTGAAAATGAACTGGAGATTAATTGATAAAATTTCCAGACTCTCTGGGGTTGCTAATTAAATATTCTTTCCACTGCTTGTTTGTCAACGTATCAGGCGTAATGCCTTTGTTGTTGTTGAGGTGATTCAAAAAGTTTGGCATGATATACTTAAGACTTTAAAACCGTAATTCGTTCGCGAAAACGGTATTTGCCATGTGTCTCTTTTCCTTATGTTGTAAGGTGTTGCCAGTGAATCTTTGAGCTGACACAGTGTTAGAAAATCGGTTTTACTTTTCAAGCCATGTTTGTATTTAGCAAAGAGATTGAAATTGTACAGTTGTTCTACTTGGAGCACATTATATGTTGTAAATAATGTTGATGTATGAGCGTCATATAGAACACCTGCAATATGTCGTATTGCTTTCTTCTGTAGCCTGATCAATTTTAATTTCTTCTTTTGCGTGGTGTTTCCCCAGACGAGGGTACAGTAATTGGATGTGCGAGTGAAATAAAGCATTATAAATGAGGAGTTTAACTTTTGTAGAAACTATATCTCGGAATTTCAAAAGCACTCCACATGCCTTGGCAAGCTTTTTGACATCATACACATGGGAATCCCAGTTTAAGTCTTCACTGAAAGTGACCCCCAATATTTTAACGTCTTGTACAATCCCAATCTCTTTGTCACCGAGGTGTAAGTTTAAGCTAGAATATATTTTTTTATTAGTTGGTTTGAATAGAACAGCCTTTGTTTTAGCAGCATTGATAACAAGAGAATTCACTTCACTCCATTTTTGTAGCTTTTCTAGCGCGTCGTGAGCTAGTATACTAAGATTAGATACATCGTCGGATTGGAGGAAGAAGCTTGTGTCATCGGCGTAAACTGAAAATTTGACGTTCTCGCTAACTCTTACTATGTGGTTTACGCAGATGTTAAATAACACGGGGCCTAACACACTTCCCTGCATATGTCAGTAAATGAAGTAACTTATTCAGTATAATAATACATGTGAGATAGGAATGCATATCTTAATTGCAATACAGCTGAATTTAGTACTGTGCAATAAATCCTTACCGATGAATTTGAATCATTGTTGCCCCGAGGAATATACAAGTAATGTAATATTCACATTAATGAGGGAAAAGAGCTTTAGGATGGTGGGAAAATAGTATGTAATTATGCAGATAGCATGGTTATGAATGTTTTGAACAAAAGTGTGACAAAAGTACAAGTTAGTTTGTCTAATGCATTAGATGACCATGTATAAAGGATGAGTTGAGGAAAAAAGCATATTTGTTGAAAGTGCTATGAAAAACCACAAACTGGTCACATAAGATAATAGCCCTATTTGTTGAAAAGTTGATGAGCTTTAATTGATGCACACATTTCTGTCTGCAGTTTTCATCTAGACTTTTTTAAAGCTTATGAATTTAAAATGGTTCGATTATTTCCTGAATGTTTACAAAGTGCTTGATTGGGCTGGTTGGTGCTGCATAGTAAACGAAGAAAGTGCTTAACAGCGCGAACGACAGGAGAAGATAAAGGAGACAAGAACAGAGCGTTCACGTCCTGTTCTCGTCTCTTCTATCCCCTTCTGTCATTTGCGCTGTTAAGCACTTTCTTTTCCGGAATGTTCAAAAAAAAATTTCATCTAGTAGAACTTTTCTATTGGTAGTCTCTGATCACTCTGTTTGAAATCTTCCAACTGTGAAAAGAAGGCTTGACGTGGATGCCTTTATGATGAATGTTACTCAAGCCCATAAAGCCAATAACAAAAATGCAACTGCCAAGTAGCTGTGATATGAAGCGAGTGACTTTCTTGTCTCTACCATTTTAAGTTTGCTCTTAGCATGTAAAGTTGAATCATTGTTATTGAACTTAGTGTGTGTTCTATGAAAGATCTGTTCTAAAAGAAAACTTTTTTTATAATATCTGCACTATTTCTCTCTCACACATCCATTTCCTGTGTAAATACTGCATTATTATTATTGTTAGTATTATTTTTTATTATTCGTTAATCTATCTTTACAATTTTCTAAGCTCACAGGCTGACAGGTAAGCTTATATTCTTGATGCTTGTTAACAATGCCAAGCTATTTGCATGTATAAGCTGTGACATCGAAAAAAAAAAAATATATATATATATATATATATATATTGCCGCATGTTGTTAGGCACCTACCGAAGTCTTGTGCCGCTTCCTGCTCTTACGAATTCTGCCACACTATTTCTCGCAAAAGGAACGGCGAACGAAGTAGCCCAGTTTTTCATCAATCAGATTGTACTACAACATGGTGCACCGCAGGATGTCATTACAGACAAAAGGAACAGCATTTACTACCCGTTTTAAGCAGTCTGTTATGAAGTTTACCCACACCGACCATAGAAGGACTACAGCATACCATCTGCAAACAAACGGATTAACCGAAAGACTCAAAAGAACTCTCGCTGACATAATCTTGATGTATGTGGACGTAGAGCACCAGACATGGGACAGTATTTTGCCTTATACTACATTTGCGTACAATACCGCTGTACAAGAAACGACACATTTTACGCCATTTCAACTTGTTTATGGTCGGATGCTCATAACGACCTTAGACGCGATATTACCTGTCAACAATTCGAATGAGAGTGACCCGGACATCAGCGACTACATAGAAAGGGCAGAAGAGGCATGGGAATTGGCAAGACATCGTATCATTTTACAAGAAGGCTCCGACGCAAGTCACTATAATCTGAAGTGGAGAGACGTACAGTATAACCCCGGAGACAAAGTGTGGGTTATGGACGCCTGTACGCACACCTGGCCTATCTGAAAAACTGATGCGGCACTATTTCGGCCCTTGCAAAGTACTTCGCCGGTTAGGCACGCTAAACCACGAAGTAATTCCTGAAGGTCAAGGGTGCTCGACCCGATTCAGAAATCGCCCAGAAGTCGTACACGTAGTACGAATGAAACCGTACTATGAAAGGCACTGAACGATACAACTGCTAAATGAGCTCAAGCATCAGATCAATACTCCTTTACAAAACTGTTCGACGTCAGCGTACGTATCGGGACGATGCGTTTCGAGAGGGGGACTAATGCCGCATGTTATTAGGCACCTACCGAACTTTCGCGCCGCTTCCTGCTCTTATGAATTCTGCCATACCAACTGACAAGCCAAACACGCCATGCAACGCTGGCTGCACGTGCCACCATACCACGCGCTAGAAAAGAAAGCTGGCGGCTTTTCAAAGGAGTGGCACGCGGCGAGACGCAAAAAGAAGTTGACGAGGTTTTTCACTAGCGCGCTCAGGACATCCTTTGTGTATTTAGTTGACGGGCACAAGTTTGCCATAAATAAATAGTTGTTTTAGCTTCCGACGTTGTATTTGTTACAATATGTGTGTGTGTGGGGGGGGGGGGGGGGGGGGTTCTTTATGTGGCTATTGACTTGGCCATAAAGATATACTTAGCATAGCTTTTTAAAACCTTGTTCTCTTCAGCCCCTATTTCTTTTCAGTGAGACTGAGAATTTGTCACTGTTATGTTGGTTTATGAATGTGGCATTAAATTTGCTTTTTTCTTTTCCTTTTTTTCCTTTTAATTCAGGTTGACATTCTTGATGACACAAATCTCAAGAAACTTATTCTCAACTTCGAGAAAAGGGTGCTCAAAAACCAAGAGCTCAGGATCAAATACCCTGATCTCCCTGAAAAGTAAGTTTATCCTGCCAAACGAATGCGGGTGCAGAGCATGCTGTACAGCATCCTCACATTAACTACGGCAGTCGTTTGATGTTTTACTGCATATGAGCATTGGTGATGCTACACACCCACTGCTGTGTAGC